GTATCCGCAGATAATAGAAGTCAGACATACCCGAATCCGGACTTGAAGGCTGTGACTTCTACCAAGGTAGAAGGAAATTAACTAGTTGTTTTCATCAGTTTAATCAGCTTTTTTACTAAAATTTTGTTTAAAAGACAGAGTTATTTTGGTTACAATCGGAGAGGCAGTTATGCTACAATTAAGCACCGGTGCAAACTTATAAAAGTCGTACTAAGACATAATTAGATAACTATGTTGGCAAAATAAAAGCAATATCGTTTTACCGAAAATTAGTAAAAGAAGATATTTCCAGGTATAAGAGAAACCTAACCTGGGGTTAATAGGAGAACTCAAATTGTGAGGTCAGTATCAATGTTAAGTGACTTGTTAATCAAATTCATCGACGGTATGTTTTGAACTAACTCTGCATAGCACGCAACGAAACGAAAGTTTGTTTTCGGTCAAGGAAGCCAATTATACAAAACATACGAGACTTTTCTTTCTCGTTGTGTTAACGTTGTAGCAAAATAAGTAAAAAAATAAAATTTAAAAAAAATAGAATAAAATAAACGAGGTTTATGATGAAACATGTATTTCGTTGCGAATATTGAATTCCTTCGTCTCAGCCGAATTTTCCTCTTTGAATGTATCAAATTCTGCCCAAATGTGTCAAATGTTCCGTGGAGGAAATACTTGTGCGGAAAATTTGAAGAGCCAATCGTTTTTCATTTTTCAGTTTAGGTTTTTAAGGATTTGATTTAAGCTGATTACCGTCCTTTTTCCTTGTGAAAACTATGGTGAGAAGTTTTGATCAATATCTTACTTAAAAGGTCACTCTTACAATTCATGTGATGCGCAGTTTTCGGTTAAACCCGCTTTGTATGGGAAGACAGTAAGAAGTGCCACTCAGAAGGGGTCTCGATTTTTTCAAATGAATAGCCAGCAATGAGGAAATCACGACCCAAAAAATAACAAAACAGGTTTTGGTAAACGTTCATTCCGCTTGATTATCGATTCAACCGGCGCGGGAGTAAGCACCCTTTCCATTTTTTCAAACTTCTGGCATACAAACTTATTATAGGGCCCGATTTTACTCTGGACCGTCGTGAATTGAAAGACAGCGTCTTTCAAGTTTGGACTCGATGATCAACTCGATCGAGCATTAATTGCTGAAGCCATTAGCAGTAACAATACCTTTAGTCCTGTTATTTTATATGAAACACTTACTCACTTTGTCAAAAAAGTGTGTTTCGTGAATCACTTGTTTTGGATTAACCACAGAGTGACAATCTAAGACGTTGACCGGCGACACCAAATTTCCTCATCAAAATATCGAGTTAATACCCGACTTTGAAAATAACACAGTATTTACAATATGTACTTATATACTGGCCTACTGCATTTACGTCTCCCTGCACGGACTTGAACTGAGGTTTCTAAAACGAACTATGATCTAAATTGTCATTCAGAACGGCCAAAGTTCCTACGATGAGAGGATCTCTGTCAAAGTTCTGCATCAGGCGTGGCCGCACAAGTTATCCATTTATACTGTCAGCAAAAGATACGATTATAAATGAAAGAGAAGATAAAGGCCAAATTGCTATTATTACAAATCTCAGTTTGATTCGTTGTTGAGTATCTCAAGTGTTTGTTTGGCTATATAGTGGCTTCTGAGAACCTCATAATCTTCTTCAGTATTAGTCGGTCGTCAGGCGTACATGGTTCTATGCACGATAAAACTGAATACTCTAAGTTGTCGGCTAAAAAGTGTCTCATGAGAGACCTCATAACGAAGAAATAGAGGGGGAGGCTACGTTTCGCTGTTCATAAACACTGTGTTTATAAGCTAAACAAAGAAAACGTTACTGCATTGTCACTGCGCCCATTTTGCCTTCTTTAAGGACTAAATAGTGATCTTGACTGGAACATAATTCTCAAATAAAGTGCAGTATGTAGGCTATTTATTAAAAAAGATTCCTATTAAGCCAGTTGTCAACAATAAAACTCTTAACTAAGGTTTACTTTAAATATCTTTTAAAACGAGAAGAAAGACAATTAAAATTTTCAAGAAGCAGAAACTTCGATGAACTCAAGGACACTTTCACAAAAAGACAATAAATAAGAAATACGACATTCCATTTATGAAAACTGGAAAAACGCACTAAAAATTTCCAACAACCATCGAAATACTTACTTAACTATTTCATTCGTTATTTTCCTGAGGTTGCGGACGTACTCGATTCTCAGCCCTTCTGTTAATGGTTTGTTCCTCCACTTGTCTTGTAATGTCCTCAAGGCTTTGTATCGCGCCCTGGTTCCTGAAGTCGATCAGCGCAGGGGCCTGTGTTGCAAAAACTGTTTGCTGACTGGCTGTTATTACGGCCAAGCAAATCTTGGTGAAAAAATATAGAACGATGATCATCATTATAAGTAAAAGCAGGTTTGGATCCATTTCGATAAGTTCTGCTCTTTCTTTCTGTTCACTGACGTTGAAACACAGAATATAGTTATGTACTGAGCTATATGTTCAACAGCAACCTGACATCGTGGCGGAATTAAACTGAAAGTCTCTCACACAACACATGAGTTTTATGTTAGTACCGCTGCACGCTCCAATGAAGTCATTGATATTTTAAGTACCGCCCCAGTAACTTGTCATTACAAGTCTGGGGGTGTTGGTTGTTTCAAGAGCAGTTTCCTTTTCGACCAGAATTACCAGATGCATGGGAAATAACATTGAATAAAATTGCTTTGCTTTGGGAACGAAATTGCAGAAATCGATTCATTTTTACGAGGCCTTTTACCGAGATCTCCAAGATCTTAATGTTTGCTGATTCCACATTTTCCACGAAACCGAAAAAGTCCCTCGATTCTAAATTGTCCAGGCTGCAATTCCTAGAAATATATTCTAATGAGCAGAATTAGCCCAGTATTAAATTGCATAATACGCAGTAATTAAGAATTATCAAACCGGCAATTGTCGTATGATATTGAGAAAACAGAAAAAGGAAAAATGATCGTGAATTTGGGGAAAAAAATGCAACTTTTGTACACATCGTCATTTCAAGTTGAAAACGGAACGATAATGCATCTACAGGGGCTAGCTTTGTATGAAGACTGTTAGAAAGTACAAGAAGTAATAGAATATACATTGAAATAAATCGGGATTGTTTTATTAAATAAGTATGACTCAATTGATTGAGTTCTGTAACAAAGAGAAATCCCTCTGTTGTTTGCCGCACTGCCGTGTTTGTTTCAGCACTAGCTGGCTTTGAAACTGCTGTGGAAAAATTCTTGGCCTTTCAAGGACAGTGTTTAAACCGGCTGTTATCACGTAAAATGGTTGACCTTTTTCCTTTAAAATTGCGACCATGTTGAAACAACCAACACCCCCAGACTTGTAATGACTTAGTTACTGGGGCGGTACTTAAAATATCAGTGACTTCATTGGAAATTGATTTATTTTTTCGGGGTCTTACGATACAATACAATACATTGAATAGATGTAGAGTTTCTTGTCTGACCACAGTAAGGCTGTTCCATGATGCTACTGCCCTGTAGAAAAACGAACGCTGAGCAATTGCTGTGACTGAACTGCATGCAGTTTTAAGCAGGAGTACTCGGGCATCGTTCAAAACTTAGCATATTTAAGACATTCGTCGAATTTTAAATTCTATGCCAATACTATGCTTGCCCTCTGGCGCTTAATATAATGAGCACCATTGAAACGCTATTTATTTTTACTGAAAAAAAAAGCTTCATCGCTTTTCTAAATGGAAGGGCCGACAATTGGATGTATACGTTAATTCGATTTATGGCATTCTCTTCACCCATCACTTGAAACTGTACTCGCTAGAGAAGACGGGTGCTTAAATGCACAATTTCTCGTGTCAGGTGCATTTATCAGAACATTACGCCCTCGTCGTCTCTCATCCCGATTATTTCCTGGCGGAAGGGGGACGTCTGTACACAGGCTAAAAATAACCCGGTAGCCACACTAGTCGACGTCTTGTTGAAACTTAACGTAATCCGGAAGTGGATGTCTCGGATTCTTGGGCGGTGTTTAGTAGAAGAAAACACACTTGACACTTGCAAATAAAGTTAGACAATCAATTGAAGGATCTGTACAGTTTATCACCTCTCAGCAGTCATAATCAAATACAATTTTAAACTTTTTTATATCAGTTTTTCACACGAGTTCTCTGTGGTCCACAAGCTCATTAATATGTAATTCACACTCGTTGGAACGTACTTAAAAAAACCTGTCTTGTTTTGTGTGTTCTTCTCAGCAAGGTAGTCTTTCAGAAAGATAGTCATGCAGAAAGCCGGTAGTCATGCAGAAGGTAGTCATGCAGAAGGTAGTCATGCAGAAGAAGATGTCTATAAATTGAAGCGTCAAAAGTAGGGTGACAGCATTGTCTAATATATGGCTAGATCCTGTTTTTCAGAATATTTATCCAGAAAATATCATAAACCGATTTTCGGACATAGAAGTCAAAAGACAAGAAGTTTGCAAATGAACCAGTCTTCGGAGGATGACCTGAAAAAGAAAGAAAATTAAAACTTTTTTAAGAGCAGTGACAATCAAGCAATTGTAATTTGGTGGCAAATGCAAGGAAGGAAGAAACGTGTTTCACGTTTGTTCCGCGAGAAAGAAACGTGGGATGTGTTACTGGGCAGCGTTCTCGTCGGTTTGGAGTTTTTACCCGGAAAATCAAATCACATTTTTGAATCCGAAAATTTTAGGTTTCCTTCTTCTACGAAAGACAGCATTACGTGGGGAGTGAAATGTCAAAAATTAGGGTTCAGGAAATCGTAAGGAATTTATTAGATAAGTTTCGAAAATTGTACATGAATGGGACTGAACGGTCATCTAGAAATTTGTAGCCGTCCTCAAGCAAAAGAAAATTCTAGGCAATGTTTGCTTCTCCGAACAGATATTTTACAGAAAACAGTCGTTGGGTACCCCTGAAAACACACTAAAAACTTCCAACAACCATCGAAATACTTACTTATCTATTTCATTCGTCATTTTCCTGAGGTTGCGGACGTACTCGATTCTCAGCCCTTCTGTTAGTGGTTTGGTCCTCCACTTGTCTTGTAATGTCGTCCCGTCTTTGAATCGTGCCCAGCTGGTCCCTGAGGTCGATCGGCGCAGGGGACTGTACTTTAAAAACTCTTTGCTGACTGGCTGTAATTACGGCCAAACAAATCTTCGTGAAAAAGTACAGAACAATGGTCATCATTATCGGTAAAAGCAGGTTTGGATCCATTTCGATCGACAGAATAAGCACTGCTTCTTCTTTCTCAACTTGCTGTTCACTTAGGTCGTAATAATTGACACATATGGTTTTATGTTAAACTACTGTTAAGTTAAGCACCGCTCAAGTTTGGCACTTCCCTGCAGCTGTTTACATTCCAGCGTAGACACCGGATGCATCAGGGGCACCCAACGGCAATTTTCGGGAAAATATCTGTTCGGAACACGATTTGAGAACTAGAATTTTCGGAACATTTGTTTTAAAATTTCTTGCTTGCCTGCCTCTCCTAGGATTTTCGAACATCTAAAAAATGGTGTAATTGCCCATTTTAAACGGATATTTACCCTATAAAAGGCCACCTAAAATTTTCGGGAGCCTTTTCCTGGCTGAAATTTTCGAAAAGGTAAGTTTTGATCCCTATAATTTTCGGATCACTAGACTTTCAGCTAGGAAATCCGAACAGATGAAAAGTTTTTAGGGGATAAAAATATGCCTATATCTACCGTTTAAATACTAAAATACGTTTAACAATTAAGTGGTTTTGAACTATATCCTCGTTGGGTGCCCCTGATGCATGGAAAATAATATTGAATAAAATTACTCTACATGAAACCTGCCTTTCAGGAATAATAGCTATTAAACGTAATAAATTAATTTACCGTGTATTATTCTGACTCTTTTCCGGGAGAGAACTTAAAGAAATCGGTTCAGTTTTTACACGTTACACAACAAAGCAGTAATATTTTCAGACGTTAGGCTTTTTTTACGGTTTGCAAAATTGTTTGACGTTCTGCCGCTGTCAAACCAGGGGTCATTGTGGTTTTCTAATAATCAGATAATCGTTTTAGTTTTCAGACCATTGTTTTACCCCTGACGTCACAAACGAACCCCAAAGGACGTCTGCGGGGAGGCTACAGGAACCTAGGGTACCTTTTTTAAAACTTAACTATGAATTTATAAATTTTTATTTTTACATATTTGTACACCCTGAGTAATTTTGGAAAGCTGTAACATAATTCATTCATCTGCATTTTGTTTTTGAGTTGCTTGTTTGTGTTTCTTTGAGCACGTGTTTGCAAACTCTAAGAATTGTTGATTTTTGCCTAGCGCGACTCATCTATAATTCAGACATAAATATGTTTTGCCTAGATTAACCTTTGTGTCAACCCACAAAGTACATGCACGTGAGACTTACTATAAGATTGTTTTTAGTCCCACATCTCAATGACAATAGCTTTCCTTTCCGTGAGTGTCCGTCTTCGGTACAGCTGTACGGTTGAATAACTAATATGGTTACGGTCACTTTTTTTTAACGAGTTATTTAACGAAAATTAAGTACAGAGTTGTTGAAAAGAAAAAAAATGAAAATTACACCAGGGAAAATAGATACGAAAAAAACATAAAAGTTTTTTAAAATCAGTGTTACATTTCATCCTGTTTGAACTCATTTGACACCCTTAACGTTCAAACACCTCAAACGTTTATTGGTCCTCAAAGCTGTGTTTGTCACAATCTTGCGCATATAATAAGAAAATACACACATAATTTATGAAGGGCTTTTCAGCATCAATATCTCAATGTAGCTGCGACTTTATTTAGTTCTAAAGCATCTAAATTCTGAGTGCAGGCAAAACTTGATTGACGATTTCCTCTTAGTCTTGTTCACTTTGCAACTGCGTGATAACCTAACAGTGAAAAAGCAAATGGAGTTAAAAGTGCTGGGATGTTCTAGTGAACATAAGACTGCACTCTTTTGTTTTTTCCTTCAAGCGCTTTGTAGCCCTAAGGGTGGTAAGCCCGTGTGCAGAGATGCGAGACGCGTTAAGTAGCGCCGAAGTCAAGAAAAGAGAGGCTGTCTCGCTATCATGACCAACGGAATGCAATGCTTGACTTGCTTCCGTGAGGAATGGTGTTTTTTGCCCCATTATGCTGCGTTGTTTCAGTGAACAAAGGACGTGTATGGCTTCGGCAATTGGAAACATCTTTACTTTTTATTTTGGAAGAAGATTTTTAACACCAGAAAGCTCGGAAAAAATTCCGAGCTCCAGGTGAGAATCGAACTCACGACCCTCCGAGTTATTCCCTGAACCGAAATAGCAGCTGGACCGAAAACAACTTGGACATTCTGCCATCAGACTGCCCGTTGAAAATCAAATACGTTTCATGAAAGTATATAATGTGAGCCTGCGGTCGCTTCGTCTCAGCGCTGTAATCACTTGAAACAGAAAACAGCAAACAAACCTAGAAAAGGTTCTTCCCTTATTAAGATTTATATATTCAGTAAATAATGTCGTAGTTTCTGCAACCAAAATCTGACAAGGACGTTATATTTTTAACAAACCTTAACTGAATTAATTGGATTTTTCTTTCGTCATGTTCTTCGGGAACGCGCCCCTTGTTCACGACCCTCCAAGTAGTGGTTTGCTGATGTACCACTCAAGTTTGCACAATTCTCTGTCCTGTAACTTCTATCCCAGCATCATGGAATGTGTGGAGGTTGCATTCAACGGCTCTCAGAACTGAGTAGTTTTTCATCACAAAGTATATCATAATGGCCATCAAGACAAGTAATACAAGGCTTATTATTTCTGTCGTCATGATTACTATCGTAGCTCTACACTTCTTTACGTTCCCTGTCGGCGAAGGGGTGGCTTGAAGTCACTTTTGAAAATTCAGATTTGTATTGTCCGCGAATGCCGCACTTTTTATGTTTCGTCAGCAATAGAAATCTGAAAGAATTTTCTTAGAAACAATACGATAAAGTTAACGGTTCCTCCAAAATCGGATGAGTGCTTTTCACGTTCTATAGTAAATCGACAGTTAATTACACAATTTCCGCGGTCAAGTGTAACTAAGCGCCTCTGTTGAGACATCAGTGTATTTTTAGAGAAGCAGCGTGTTGTTCACTTCAATTTTCACTGATCCTAGCCACAAATATTTATTCCTTTACTGCAAAACATTAGATTACTTGGACTAAGAGCAACGTCAAGAATATAGAATGGATTGAGCTGCATGCATAAGGTTTTAAACAGGAGTACTCGAGCATCGTTCAAAACTTAGCATATTTACTACATTCGTCGAATTTACAATACTATGCCAATACTATGCTTGCCCTCTGGCGCTTAATATAATGAGCACCATTGAAACGCTATTTATTCTTTCAGAAAAAAAAAAGCCGAATGGCCTTTCTTAATGGAAGTGCCGATATTTTGATATATACGTTAATCCCATTAATGGCATTTTCTTTACCCATCCCNCCCCACCCGCCGCCTTTCCAGTCTAAAAAAAGCCCGAATGGCTTTTCTTAAGGGAGGTGCCAATTTTTTTATATAAACTTTAACCCATTTAATGGTTTTTTTTTTCCCCCCCCCTTAAAATTTTGTCCCCAAAAAAAAAAATTTTTTTGGTTCCCTCCCATTTAAAAAAAATTTATCCCCCCCCCGTCCCCCCGGGGGGGGGGGGGGGTACTTGGGTTAATGTTTGCTGGGTATGTGCCGCTGGCCTCTCAGAGCCCTTACCCCAGTAAAGACTATTTTTTGGCCAGTTATAGACCCAATCTTAGTCACTTTTTGGAAAATGTTATTTTCGCGATCCCAACTTAGTCACTTTCTATTTATGCATCTTGACCTTATCAATGTGGTTTCAAGCGGCGGAACGTAATGCGGTCAATACAAGCTTATTGTTAAATTTAACAAACAAAAACTTTCTGATTTTTTAACCGAGAATCTTCGCATTTTGAATCCCTATACTTACCCCAAAAATCCGAAAATTTGCGACTCCATTCTAGTAAATCTATTGAAAATACGACCCCATTATAGTCACTACAGTCGTGAAAATGCCACCCCATCCAGCGGCACATCCCTATTAGCCTCTTGTAAGGGAGTACCCTCCCCCCCCCGGGGTCGTCTCTCTTCCCGATTTTTTCTGAGGGAAGGGGGACGTCTGTACACAGCATAAAAAAAACCGGTAGCCACACTAGTCGACGTCTTGTTGAAACTTAACGTCATCCGAAAGTGGTTATTTTGCTTTCTTGGGCAGTGTTTATGGAAGAAAAGACACTTGACACTTGGAATAAAGTTAGAGAATCAATTGAAGGATCTGTAGAGTGTATCACCTCTCAGCAGTCATTATCAAATACAATTTTAAAACATTTTATATCAGTTTTTCACACGAGTTCTCTGTGGTCTATAAGCTACTTAATATATAATCCACACTCGTTGGAACGTTCTTGTTTTGTGTTCTTCTCAGCAAGGTAGTCATGTAGAAAGCCGGTAGTGATGCAAAAAGGTAGTCATGCATAAGAAGTCTATAAATTGAAGCGTCAAAAGTAGCGTAATTGCATTGTCCAATATGGCTGGATCTTTTTCTTTTTCAGAATAATTATCCACAAAATATCATAAACTGATTTTCGGACAAAGAAGTCAAAAGACAAGAAGTTTGCTACTGAACCGGTCTTCGGAGGATGTCCTGAAAAAGAAAGAAAATTAAAACTTTTTTAAGAGCCGCGACGATCAAGCAATTGTCATTTGGTGGGAAATTCTCAAATTCTCAAATAAAATGCAGTATGTAGGCTATGTATTAAAAAGATTCTTATTAAGCCAGTTGTCAACAGTAAAACTCTTAACTAAGGTTTACTTTAAAGATCTTTTAATGAGAAAGAAAACAATTAAAATTTTCAAGAAGCAGTAACTTCGATGAACTCAAGGACACCTTCACAAATAAGACAATAAGTAAGAAATACGACCTTCCGTTTATAAAAACCGGAAAAACACACTAACAATTTCCAACAACCATCGAAATACTTACTTAACTATTTCATTCGTTATTTTCCTGAGGTTGTGGGCGTACTCGATTCTCAGCCGTTCTGTTAATGGTTTGGTTCTCCACTTGTCTTGTAATGTCCTCTAGCCTTTGTATCGCACGGCCTTGCGTCCTGTTGTGGACCAGCGCCGGGACCTGTGCTGCAAAAACTCTTTGCTGACCGGCTGTTATTACGGCCGAACAAATCTTCGTGAAAAAATACAGAACAATGGTCATCATTATCAATAACAACAGGTTTGAATCCATTTCGATCGACAGAATACGCACTGCTTCTTCTTTCGGAACTTTCTCTTCAATGAGGTCGAAATCGAAGAGTGATGACCTCAACACAACACATGCGTTTTATGTTTTTATGTCTTCAGTAGTACCGCCCCCAGCAACTTGTTTAAGTCTAGGCAACTGTCTAATTAATTAGAATTAATTAGAATTAATTATCGATAATTACCAGATGCATGGGAAATAATATTGAATAAAATTACTCTGCATTAAACCGGCCTTTCAGGAATAATAGCTAAAGTAATAAATTAATTTACTGTGTATTATTCCTACTCTTTTCCGGGAGCGAAATTAAAGAAATCGGTTCAGTTTTTTGAGTTCTATAGATGACACTTAATAATATATTCAACTACAATACTTTTTTTTGCGGTTTCCAAAATTGTTTGACGTTCCGCGGTCATACCAGGGGGTCATTTTTTTGCGTGATGAACAGTTTTAGCCTGTTTACGACGAAAATGACCTCTTGAACCCAGGGTAAATTTTTATTTTTATTTTTATATATCTGTACATTCTGCGTAATTCTGAAAGGTATTCACTCATTTGCATTTTGTTTTTTAATTGCTTGTTTGTGTTTCTTTGAGCACGTGTTTGCAAACGCCAAGAATTGCTGATTTTTTTGAAGGCGCATTTGGCGTGATGGACAATTTGAAAAATCATTTTTAATGCAAGAAAACTTTCAGACTTGCGTGCGTGCGTGCGTGCGTGCGTTTCCGATGTTAGTCAACAAAAGTCAACTTTAAAATGTTTTATCCGCGTGATCAGCCCAGCAGTCTCTATGTTGTTTCTTGTTGTTTCAAGATTTAAAAATCTTGTGGTTACTTTCTTCCTCTTGGTATGCAAAGGAATGTTACACCTACACGGCCTCCCTTATGATGGCATGAAGGAAATACATATAGTATTTAAAGTAAGCGTTCCTGAAATTTCCATTGTTTGA